GGTGTATTGGTGTATCCTCTTATTTTGAGCACTGAAATTCCTCCAAACATATTTCTGCATCTGTAAATTGTGACCTCAGAAGTGTTCTGACAGGTTTGGTTTCCTTCAGTTTCCCTCACAACTTGATGCCCAGGTATGATATTTACCAAGCTGCACATGAAGAACTTTCCTGCCATTGATGTCTGTGGAGCACACACCATGCAATATATATTCTTCCATCATAAAAAATGGGATTTCCCCACACTGGCTGTGATGTATGATAAAAACTTAAGGCAGTATAGTAAGCTACCAGAAAAAGAAAAAATGTCTTATGACTTACTACAGAAGTAATGTGTGATTAAGTATGTCCCTGCAGCACAAATCCAAGGTGTGAGAGTATTTGGAAAATTATCACGCTTGTGTTTAGGTTTTTCCTCAAATATGTGTTCTCATCCACACTTGTAGATATCATACTGTTCTAGAGACATCTTTGGTCTCACTGTAGCCAGTCTCACTTCTCCTATTGTTACAGCAGAAAAACATAACAAACTTTTTGAACTTTGAATGCAGTCGTCTGTGTTTTCTGGTAACATGTTGATAGCCTGTTTCAAAAACTATTCCCAGACCATGTTGCTTTCCCCCTTCTCAAGTTCCCACACATATTCCTTTGCAGTTACAATAGGGGTGAATTGTATTAATTGTTCCCACCTATGACAGGTGGTGAGATGCATGAAGCAATTTATTCTAGCTAAAATCAAGGATGTGAAAGTCAGTCCACAAAACCTTTACTTATTAGTTAATTATGTCCTTTCTCTTGCATGATCAGCTCTCCTCTCCTCTTATTTACCTCCTGCTAGTCACTTAAAACTAACTGCCGGATTTTAATTGTTTCTTTTTTTACATTAAGCACGACTTTTCTTAATGTATTCTCTATTACCTCCCATAATTGTTCCTAACTGAGGGTTGGAACAAGTTCTTAGTGGTTTTCAAGGTGGTGGAATTGTCACTAGAGAATATATTTTGTACTTTATACACTACAATTTTTCACTAATTCAATTCCTATATTATCCACAGCTTTGCTTCTATTTGCAATTTCTTTATTCCAGAAAAAAAAAAAATACCAATACAGATTACCATTTTATCACAATGGAAAGCTGTGAAAATAATTGATACTCCTGTGGCACAAATTTTCCTTCAAGAGTAACTATAAAAATTTAAGTCTGTTTTATGTTAATAAATTAATTATTTCCTAAATATTTATGTATGTATCCCTTTTTTCTTTAAAATTCATACTTAAACAACATATATAAAAAATTGAATTATTAAAACCTTTGGAAAATGTTATTACTTTAATCTTATCCATTAAATGACAATTTTCTGACATTTGCTTGTAGACAACATTAATACTATCCATGCACTTAATATATGACATTGCAACTCTCTTAAGTAGAAAAAAAATGTGCAGCTGTAGAAAAATACCAGTAATGAGAGCTCATTCAGGCTAGAAAAATACAGATATTAAGTTGTCAGCAATAATCCAGATAAGGGCCACATGAAAAGCTCTGCTTGCTAAAACCAGCAGTCTTTGAAAGACAACTTGGAATAGTTCACAAATCTGAAATGTAAAAAGTCTGCAAATAGGAGGCTAAAATTCAATGTATACTGGGAAATGCAAAAAAATAGTTGGACAACGTAGTCATTCTGCAAAAAAACCACTCTAAGACTTAACAACAGCAAAATGAGTAAGAAATAGCATGAAAGGCTGGAAAGCAGAACACAAAATAAAATACTAAAACTCACACTATATTTTTAAACAAGGAAACTGATTTACTGATTTTTCCATTGTGCAGCTGCTTTTACTTTCACTTCAATAGAAACACACTTTAGCTTTCAGTTGCCTTTCAATATTTGGTAATTTATTTTTTAAATAGCTGTTGTGTATATGGATTAGCTAGTTAATTGTCAGATTAAGTATTATTCTATGGATAATTCCTGTTAGTTTGGAATCAGTACAATATTGTGTGCAGATATTGTTCATAAAAGCATTTAAAACAGTATAGTTATGTAAAGAGTTCTGAACAATATTTTTGAAAATATTTTCATGCAAGTAGAGTGAGTTGAATGTGCAGATGACAGACTGAATATAAAAGGAATATTAAGAATTTGAATATTCATTGTCCCTGTCCTCTATGCTTAAAAGAAACATTGGTAAATTAGTATTAAAACTAATTAGTATTAGTATTATTAGTAACACTAATACTAATTAGTATGAGTAAGGTTCTTCTCTAAAACATAAAATTTGAAACAGAGTAAAATATCAAACTCTGAGTAGGTTTATCTCAACTTAAGGTCATGGCTTGCATAATGAAAATTAAATTGATTTATATGGTAATACTAGATTTATTGCTACATTAATTTGATAATAAGGTGTCTTCTCTGATTTTGTTTGTGTGTTTGACATTCATTTAGTAGAATTAACTATTCTGCAACTAAATTTTTTTGCATTAAAAAACTTTATTTATATTTATCCTTTATCTGATTCTTCTGTAGGTCTAGACCTTACACTACCCCATGTCATTAGAGAAGATATGTGCTGGAAAAATCAATTTATGAAATCTTGGAACTAAATGCTAAATGTGGATTTTATAGATATATATATAATACTTTTATTAAAAGGCAAATTTTGTATTTTATAGACTAACTCTTGCATCAAGGGGATGGGCCTAGTTTCATAGCCAGCATTTGGTTTTCCTGATTTTTCATATCTATGAGTTTTGTGCATATATCACAGGAAATTGTATTTCAAATACTCTTTTTATTACAGCAGTCAGAACTTAAATAGTTACTGCAAAAAAGCCAACCTATTATGGTCAATATGGAGGACCGTGTCTCAGGATTTTGTTCCTGCCCAGAAGAATAGTTCCTAGAATCTGTATGTTCCAGTTCCTAATTGAGCAGAGTCATCTGCTTATTCTTCCTGCTGCTTTCATTAAAAAAAAAAAAAGAAATTTATTTCCCCTTGAAAATTTACATCATAACTATAGATAATACTTTAAAAAATATCCCAGCATCACTTCATTTTCCTTTGTTTTGTATCCTTTACCATTGAATTTATTGAAGTGTCCTGCTACAATATGTGGTTACACTTTTAATTAATGGATATTTAGCAAAATATTTCTTTCTGGATATAAGGGATTTGCTGAAGCTTTGCCTCTACTCTCCGGGTAATAAAGAAATGCTGTCATCACAAAAGGCAATTAATCTCATTTTTCTTAGACATTAACTGAAAGAATAGGTGAGCTTACAGGCACACCACCTTTCTTGAGCTGACATACGTATTCATTATGAGCAGATTCATTTGTAGATTGGAGTACAGTAGTATTTTATGCCAAAGTCATGTTACAAGGCTTAGTTAATTAATTAATTATTACAAAGCACTTTGAGAACCCTGGAGAGAAGACATTATAAAAGTATGCGATGTTATTTTAATAATTTTCCATTTAGCTGAGTGGAATGAATTACCTCGGAGCCCTCAGGGTTCTGTGCCTGATTAAGGACTGTTGACTGCATTACAGAAAGTACAGCTTCCACTTCCCTTCTGCTTGGCAACCTCCCAACTTCTAGTTGGAAGCTAGTAAAAAAAGAAGACTCTGTAGATTTTTATATACGAGTGTTGAAATGCTAGAAAAGGTTTTAGAAGAGCAAACATCAGCTAATTTCACCTAATCAGAATACCTGGGAATTTGCTATGAAGAGAAAAAGCTGGATGAGTTTTAATGAAAACAGAGAGAATTGCAGCAAAACATTTTCTTGGTGGAAAACCTTGAATTTCTGGAAGGGGTTCATGACAAGCAGAACAAAGTTAATGCAATGTAGATTTCCTTCAAAAGAGCAAGAAGGGAAATTGTGACCAGTAAACCTCACCTCTCGGAGTAATGGAATCAATCTGTTTGTTTTGACATAAAAAAATAGGACAGAAATCAGGAGCAGTCATATGAATTTTTCAAGGATCATGCTTATTCAGTCTTCTTGCCTTCTGTAAAGGAATTGCTGTTTTTATGGATGACAGGAGAGTGGTGACTGTGACACTCCTGGATGCAGGTAGATCTTGTGACACCAACTCTTACTTGCATTCTTAGTTGGGAGCTAATGTTTTGAACAGAATACTGGGTGATAAAAATGGTTGTATTGCTAAACTCAAAGGGTGTGAGTGAATGAGCTGGTGTCCTGTTGGTGATAATAGCATCAAGGGGACACTGGAATCCATCTGGTCCATTATTTTCCTCAGTGTGAACAATGTGAACAATGACAGAGAGCAGCTATAGGAAATTTGCAGAAACAATAAAGCAAAATAACTAACTCACACAATGAAAGAATGATCTGCGGTTCTGAGACACCTTGATAAAGTTGATTGAGCAAGCATAAAACTTATGAAGCCTTTCAGGAACAAAACTGGATGCTGTACTGGAGTTCACATTTCAAACCACAAACTGGACTTCCATTAGGAGAAATTCAGCGGAGTGGTTTTTGATCTCTCCCCTGTGCTAATAAGGTTACATGTGGGATAATTGCGTCCATTTCCAGAAGAGTGTTAAGAAGCTGGAGTGAATCCAATGGATTGACACTGTGCTGGTAAGGGGCCTTGAGCAGAGGACCTACAAGGGGGGTTTATTTCTTTAGAATGACTCTTAATAAAATCTTTCACTATGAAATACTGATGAACATCCAGTCTACAGGATCAAACCAGAGCTGATCTAAAGCAATAATCTTAAAACATACACAGTGTAGGTGTTAGTGACTCCATTTCCAACTCTGTCTTTGCACATTCATTCTTATCAATTTTTTTTTCCTAATATAGGTGGGGTCAAATCAGGCTCAGTGTAACTAGATTTCATCCTGGCTGTATAAATCACATCTTACTATCCTTATCACAACTTCTGCCTTGCTATGGCACTGTAGTCTCTTTTAGAGCTGAATATCCAACACTCGGGACAGAATTAGCCCAGGAGAGGGAATGAAGAAGAATGAGAAGCATGATCCTGCAGCATGGGTGGTTAGATGCACAGCTCTGTCCACATCCAAGATCTTCACAAGGTAATATCAAAAACCTGTCCTCTTCCTGCTCCTGTGTTTCTGTGTTTTCCTAAAAAAAGTTTCTGCTTCAAGGAAAATTCTCCACCTGTGTCAATGAGTTGTAATCTTTGTAGGCATGGATGTCCCTCTGAGAGTGAGACTGAAAAATTAAATCTGTTTTCCTTGTTTTTCTGTTGCTGATCAGTGAGCTGTTAGATTTCAATATCCTTCTGACAGGTCTGACTCTGCATGAACTGAAATGGATCCTAGATGATAGATTTCAGAGAAAAGGCCCCAAGTGTTTTATTTAGATATGGCCCATTGCCTCCTTTGCTAAAGCTGCAGTTTTAAAAGCATCTAAATCCATGGTTCTAGGATTTTTAAAAGCTCATTCATGAATCAATGCCAAATAAATTGCGAAAATGCAGCAAGCAGCAGTGGAAAAAAATAAATAATTTTTAAAAAGGGAACACTTCAGAGTCTCCTTCAGAGAGGCTCATTCCTTATGCTGAGTGGCATAAGAAATAACAAATTAAATAAAAGGTATTCTAAAAGCCACAAATGTAATGAAAAATCTGAAAGTACATGGTTTCATTATGAAACCATGCAATGTTATCTCATTAAATGGTCAGAGAAGTAAAAACATCCAGTTACATGTTTTCAGATTGAACCTACACTTAGGGGTTTCATAATACAAAGAAAACCTAACAACTCTATTTCTCCCTTTCTAATTGAGTTATTATATGAGCAAAACCAGTTATGCATTTTGGATTTGTCAATTCACAAGTCAAAATAAATGGTAGTACAGTAGGAATACAAGAACAGAGAACTTCAAAACTATTTGTATCCAGAAATTGATATGGTGTATGATGACATGATATAATTACATATACATTTTTGCTCAGGCTAATATGGATCCTTCACCTGTTTTTCTGAATTTCTTATTGTTCTGTTTAGTATTTTTTCTATATGTGAAGGCATTATAGTTTTTATTAGAATTATCAATACACACATACTATCTAAAGAACATAACCAATTTATTTTTTTTTAAATCATCAGTTCATTTTTTTGAGATTTTTATAAGTAGACATAGACATTAAAATGCCCACACACAGTATATGTATTACTTAAAACTTTTCTATCTACAATGTTAGAAATGGGAAATTGGTAGCATATTCATTTCACCTAAAAAGCAGTCTTTATATTTTTCTGTTTCCTGAGATTGTCTCTTCAAAAAGCTGCTGTTCTAAGCATTTAAGTAAACTTAAGGAAAAGTAATGATTTTGTGATGCAAAATCTTCTAAAGGAATTGTCTTCATTTCTAATTCTGCTTCACTTTTGCATTTTTTACACAATGGCAGTAAATTGTTGACTTCCCTGAAGTTCCTTTTTTGCTCCTCACCTCACATATTTTTTAACCATTTTTTCCTATGTGATCTCTATATTGGTGTTTAGAGGAAGAGGGTAATTTCCTTTTATATCTTTGGTTTAAGCCATGTTTATACCCCTTTTCCAAAAAATTTAAAGACAAGAAAGAATATTTCTTTTATTAACTGTTATCTCCAAGAAAGCCTTATAACATTGCAATGCCAAAACAAAACAAAACAAACAACAGCAACAAAAAAACCCAAACCAAAACAAAACATCATTCATAAAAATAAACTAAGAATAGTTATTGTTAGTAGACTCCATTACAAAACAGAAAAACGTTCTTATAGCCCTCTAATTCTTCATTTCTTGAATTTTAAAGCTCACTAATAAGAAAATTTATTGAGTTTACATTTACAGTTTGACCCATAGGTTGATTGGCTTATGCATGCAGTAAAATACATTTAACATGAGGTTTCCAGAATAAAAAGTCATGATAACAGTTTTAAAAATCATTTGCTGTGAAAATTCTTTCATATTTACTTTAAAATAACCAAAGGTTAACAATCCTTCCACTTCAAATACATGCTAGAAATTGCACAAAAATTTTATACAAAATCCTGCATTGAATTGAAAAAGTAGTTTGTATTGTAGACTAAGAAGAAATTAATAATAAAATTTTATATTTAAAAATATGCCTCAGGAATCTTACACCAGTAGTTTTACAAAGTACATATTCCTCTTTTCCTGGATGACTTCAACCTTTTCTCACTTGTTTGTGCAAGGAGACAGCAGTTAACAACAATCAGCAATTTCTAGGGAAAGCCATTACTACCATCACAGCAAATCAGTGGTAGCTGTGAAATAACAATGTTCACTACTATGATTCTCACATATTTTCTTTACACATTGAAGTTAGAATGTCAGTACATATTACTTCAGCATTTTACTCTGCATCCTGACAGGATATTTTACTTGGAATAGCACTGCTATTTGAGGCACAATAAAAAAGGCATTCCAATAAATTGAAAATGCTCTTAAACTTTTTGAAATAAATGGACTGTATATTTGTTCTTCATGGTAATCTTGAAGAGCTTTATAATCAGATGTCTTTTTGCAGCTGCCATCTGCATGTTCCTGAACTCATTCAGGATGTCATACAGCTCTGAATAGAAAGCCTCATAAGGTCATTTTCTGCCTTAGAGCTTTACACTTAAAAGATTTGGCATATCTGCAGTTGCAAAATGCAAAGCATTTCACCCAGAATAAATTTCCTGTCAAATGACAATTTATATCTATGCAAAGCACAGCTTTTGTTTATGCATCACAGGTCTGATTATGTATAGATTAGCTGAACCCTAGAGAGGTTCTCAACTTTTCTTAGTAGAGGCCAGAACCAGACAGTTTGGAGCAAGAAAACAGCTGGAAACCTGTGTGACAAATATTTTTTAAACTAACCCAGGAACTGAATTTTACATGCATTTTCCTTACTCTATTATCCCAAACTCTGCAACAGTGTTACAGATTTAGAATAATTCCATGTTAAATTAGGATTTTGGATGGAGCTGAGCTCACTAAGGACACATTGTTTGGCTTTTAATTTTAATTTCTCTGAGAGTGTGCTACTTTTTCTGAGAATAGGTTTTATCATTAGTTTTTATTTATACAGTGGAGAGCTTTGGACCAGCATCAGAAAATGAAGAAGTATGTCATGAAAATCAAGGCATGCCTCAAAGATCTTTACAGATGAGAACCTTAGGATAGCAAAAATATAGATGCACAAAGTAAATTAACCCAGGTCTTTTAGAAGAAAAACAGTGAAGGACCCTTCTTTATTAATAAATATGTTTTATGTTAAAAGGCCACTTTCTATGGAAGTATATATTAGGAAATTAGCAGATCAAGCTATTATCGCATAAGAACAACAGACAGGTTTGAAGCATTCTGGAAACGTAATGTTTATTCAGCTTATCTGGGCATTTCTAAATGTATATTACCTTATCCTTTGGTGCAAAGGAATTATTTCTGCATTTATCCAGCTTTCAACATCAAAATATGGTCTTTCAAAAATAAAAATTTATAAAGATTGATATTTAATCTTTAACTATGAAATAGCAGAATTTTAAAAATGGTCATTATATGCACAAAATTAAAAGAATATGAACAAATGGGAAAAATACCACATGGTTGCAGAACTTACTATTGTTTGTCATAAATATCTGTAAAAAGATAAGCCATGTTCTGCACTTGCTTCAGCTATGCCATAGTTGCTTTCAACTATGGCATAACACAGAGGAGTGATTGTAAAAGCCATATGTGTGCTATATTCATCCATTTGCTTAAACTAATAATGCCTACCACATACACATGAATCAAATTTCATGACTGAAGGCTTATTCAGAGTCTAAGTTTCTGGAAGCAAATTATGACTTTTGAGTCACCAATACTTTAACTGATTCCTGATTTAAAACCAAGAGTGATTCCTGATTTTAAAGTAAATTGGGTTTTTATATTTTTGGAAGTAGACCTGGAAAATAATAATAGGAAGCCAAGTGAGTTTGCATTTGGTATGGGATACTTTCTCCTTATTCAACAAACCCCCCCACCCCAGTTTCTGAAAGAGGCATTATTAAGGAGTCCTAGGTAAACTTTTTGTGATGTCTACTTTCTGTGGAAGACTAATATCACCACAGACCAGTGAACTATTGACAAAACCCATCTATGCTCTCTATTTACTAGAACATCAGCATAGTTTACAAAGTTTTAAAATAGAACATAACAAAAAAAAATCAAATCAATCAAGTATGCAGAGAAGGTAATTTTTCTTTTCAACAGTATATGGACTCAGGAAAGAGAGATGGAGAGTTACAGTACAGCATTAGCCAGTGGGCTGGAGAGATAGCACTGTTAACTGAGAAAATAGGGACCTAAACAAATGATCCTGTTTTGGGGGTGGGCAGATAATTTTAATGTTGATAATAATTTTCTACCTAATGTGATGAAATAAATAGTAAAATGAAGCTTCCTATCACCTATCTAATCACAGTTAGCTATTGAAATGTGTTGGAACATTGTAAACTATTGGCGAAAAACTTAGAAAATAGCTAGAAGAAAATAATTCAAACATATCTTGATGAAAAGAAAACCTAAGTTTGGGGTTTTTCTTTGCCTGGCTACAACAAAAGAAATACAGAAAGTCACACATATAGTTTAGAAGTGAAATCTTGAAAGCTGTCAGTCTTCATTTAGAATGAAAACATAAAATACTAAACCATAATATATAAAACTACATAAAGCAATAAATAATTTCATGACTTAAAGATACTATTTTATTTTTTTCCATTGTCTTCAATGATGCTCCCTCATCACTGTCCTACTTTCAAAAAGGAGTATTTTATTTGTAGGTTGAACAATGCATGAGAAAATAATGTCTTGAAGAGCAAGGCTGGAGTTTGGGTCTTATATATGAAGTGAGATTTTTCTCACTCTCATTCCAACATTTAAAAGACTCTTTTTTTCATTTAGGAAAAAGAAAATAAATGTTTTTAAATATTAAAAAACCCTTTTGGATTGGATGTGCAAGGTGCTTGCAAATGAGCCTGTTTTTTCTTGTTTTTTCTTCTAAATAGTGCCATTGGAAGGTTACTGGAAGA